CTGATTTTGTAAGTTTTGAAGTGAGGTGAAACTTGTGGGAACACAAGACAAATCAGACTATTGACAGGGGTACAGTAGTCTGGAAAGGTTGAGACATACTGGTGTAGACAATACTTAGTCCTGCCTTCATGCAGGGGACTGGACTAGATGACCTGTCAAAGTCCCTTCCAGTCGTACATTTGTATGATTGAATGATTTTCTAAACTCTTGGCATTTCTGGGTTTAAAGTTCTGGGCTGAAATCCTCACCCCAAAGAAGTCAAAGACAAAACACCATTGACTTCAATGGAGCCATGGTTTGACTAAAAGGGGGCAGGGGTTTCTCCTTGGTGCCTGTTAGACACTGCAGTCTGAAGCATTGCCCAAGTGGTTCCCTCTGGCCTTGGAATCTGAGGCCATGTCTACACTACTGGCTAAATTGGCACTGCTGCGATCAATGCAGCGGTGTCGATTTAGCAGGTCTGGTGAAGACACGCTAAGCTGATGGATGAGCACTCCCATTGATGTCTGTACTCCACCTCCCCGAGAGGTTGAAACTATGTTGACAGGAGATCGTCAATCATCGACACAGCGTGGTGTAGACACCACTATAAGTCAACCTAAATTACACTGACTTCAGTTACATAATTTACTGAAGTAGCGTAACTTAGGTTGACTTAGTGTTAGTATAGACCAGCCCAGAGCATGCAAAACTTGAATTGACTTACATAGTCAAATAAAATACACCAGCAACATTTTAACCACCAAATTTAAGTTTTTATTTTCTCACTATCTTTTTTTTTTCTTGTCCCTTTGCAAAGAAGTTAGATTAAAAATATTGTGTTTATGAAATAGTAAGCATAAGATTCTGTAACAAGGACAGTAAGAAAATTCCAAATTCTGGTTCCTATAGCAAAATATAACTAGGCTACATTTCACAAAATACATGAAAAAAATTCAAGTCTACTCTATTATACAGTAATATACAAGGCACTATTCCTATTAGAAATATGGCTAAGTTACAGTAGCTATAAAACCCTGATCTTTCAATTCACTCCCCCACCCCACCCCATTCAGAAAAGCAACATTCCTGCTTTTTACTGATTGCACTGGCTTAGGTGCTGCTGTTACACCTTTTTGGCCAAGGTTCAAGACTATATACTTCCTTGAAAGTAGATATCATGGCACTACAAAAACCAAAGCTCTTAGTTGGGGGGCATTAATTGATTTTTCTACTGGGACTTATTTGCTCTTCGCCCCTAACCTTTATCTATTCTATCCATGCTTAGCTTGAGAGCTTCTTGAATCAAGGACCATCCTTCCTGGACATTTGGAAAGTGCCTAGGAGATTGCATTTACTTTTAACATCCACTAAGTATTAATAATACAACTTTCCTGCAATCATAATCAAATTTAACAATTCTTTAAAGAACTTGGCCATGTATTTTCATCCAGTTCTGTTCCTGGAACATCATGACATATCTATCATTTATGCAACATTTCCAGGCTTTGATCCCAATTGTCTTTGCCTCTACTTAAATGGTGATTAATGTTACTTCCCGACACTGCCACAGTTCTGTCTAACAAACTCCCTGGTGGATCCCTACACAAATTGTTGTTTGTGTACCATTCCATAGAACAGAGGAAGTATTTTCAACACAATATTTTTCCCTTGCTTCTTAGCCCTGACTGACTCCTGATTAAATTCTGTATTTCTTAATAACTTGTTCTTTAACTACAGAAGACATTGTACAAATTTGGTCTCTTATCTTCATGAACTTTTCATTTTTAATTTTCCAGTGTGTAGATAAAAGCTGATGCATCAACAACCGTGAAAACTGAAGGGCTCTTTCATCACTGTTGAAGTACAGCATGGCCAGTAATAGTGAATCTTCCCACACACTATCTCCTGCCAATGTGTGTCAAGTCAGAACTAGAGGGACCCACTTTGGCTTCAGAGAGGAGATAGCCTCTAAAGAGCTTTAATCCCTTCCAGATGAAAGCCTTTCCACATGAAGTGTGAAGAAAAGGAATGGCCATGAGGCACGAGAAAAAGCATTGGCAGAACACGTATTGTATTAAGGTGGAAAACTGCCACTACTTTTGGAATGAAACTTGGCCAAGCCTGTGGCACTATCTTATCTTTGTAAAATTTGGTAGAAGGTGGAACCTGAAACTTACTCTATACAATAAAAAACTGCCACCAGGAAATGATCTTCCATATAAGAAATCTGAGCTCACTCAGGAAATCCAGTGGCTCAAAAGGAACTTTCATCAGCTTTGTCAGGACCACACTAATATCTCATGACACTGGGGAACTTCTGAGCAGGAGAAACTTGAGCTAGTGTTTGTCACTTTTTCTCTCATGCCTGAACTGGCAGAGGCTCCAAGCATAGAGTAGAGACAGGGGAAAGACACATGCAAGAAACACCTTATCGTTAAACAGTGCCCCATAATCCTAACCAGGAGATTGAAGAATTTATACTAATTACCATCCGTCTGGCTGAAGAGGCGGCCTGGGGAGAAGGGAGGACATATTTTAAAAGAATGGAGAAATCTTTGGGACTTTAGAGGATGGTGAATCTCTCGGAATCCCTATTGCCCCATTGAAATGGCTATTTCCTATGCTGGCACAATTACATAAACAACATAGCTTCCTAGAAAGCCACCATGTACTCTGTCCTTCCTCTAGCCTCACTTCTATGAGGAGAAAGTGGGATGTTTCTATAAGCCCTCTGCAGAATCCAAACACACCACCAACACCTCACCATCTCTCTCAAAACACTGAATCATGGTGATGGTCCTTCCAACCCTCCAGTTCACCCCATTAGCCAAAGCAGTTCTTTGCTTCAGCCAGGGGTAGGGGGTTGCTAGAATGATGCAAGGCAGTCTCTGTCCTCCAAGGCCAGAATACACTGCCTTCAAGGCACTCCCAAACTGGGAGCCCAGGGACCTGAGCTCTGATCCTATATTAGGCAGAGTATTCTGCTGACAGTAGACTGAAACTAGTGAGTATTTTGCTTTTTTAAAAGACATGTCATGATACACTCATCCTTTTGTGGATCATGATACTATCCCCCAAACCCACATCTCTAGCCCCCACTCCAAGTGTGATATGTTTCTATCACTCTTGCCGGCTGAAGTTAAACTTCAGCTAGCTCCCAGTCATCCCTTTATCTGGCCCCTAGCGTTTCTCTGCATCCTGGCAGACATTTACAGAGCTCTCACTCGCACTAATATCACATGCCTTTGATCACTGCGTCATGTTTCTGCTGCAGGTACTACTGTTGCTAAGTTCTGGTGCTTTGGCTGCCTAGCAACAGATGTTTCTTTATTCCAGTCAGGAGTGGATCAGAGAGTCCGGAGATAAAAGCAACAGTGATTTTCCACTGCTTTGTCATTGGATAGGAGCCCTATAAATGATCTACCGTAATCAGAGTCCGCTTTTAAAAAAGGACTATGTCCTAAAATTAACTGGGTGCAAACTAGAGATTAGATTCAGGACTCGGATAGCCACTTAGCTCACAGAAAAGCTCCTTGGCTCAGTCATGGTTAAACTAGGCTGTGTCTTCCAGCACAGGGCTAAGTGTGCCATTTTTCTGCAATGATCTATCATGATATGGAGTCTGCAGAAAAAAAATCAATTGGAAATAGGATCAGAAAGCGTATCTTAAATCATAAATTCAGTCAAAGATCGCGGGGGAAGGAAAGATGGAAAGCTCTCTGTAAGCTCAAGCACTTAAGTGTTTTAGTACAACTGCACATAATTATACACATGTAATGAGCTGATTATGTTAATGGAAATTAGATAATCATGTTCAAAGCCTGGAAACTGAAAAGGTTTATTTTTAGTTGCTCTAGATTAAAAACTTGTACAACTCAAAATCCAATCTTTCACTGCTGTCTGAAAGCTTCTGCTGCTCTGATACCCCATGGGAAGGGAGGGGGTCTGTGTGGGGCCCCAGACCTCCGTGGGGGGGCTGGCCACTTCCTGTGGGAAGTGGAGTGATCCGGCCCCAGCCTGCTTGGCTCCCAGGCTTGGGGAGTGGCGGCGCAGTTGGGAGCCAGGGGAGCGGAGCAGGCTGGGGCCGGGTCGCTCTACTTACCCCCGCCGGTGAGTGCAGGGAGCCTGACCCCTGCTGCAGTCCTCAGGGGAAGGGCTGGCTGGAGTGGGGGCGGGGCTGGGGCGGAGCAGAGGCTAGAGCATCATGCAGCTGTGTAAGGCACCAGGAAATTTGGTGCCCCAAATTTCCTGGTGCCCTACACAGCTGCATACTTTGTGTATGGGTAGGGACGGCCCTGCTAGTAACCCTTTCAGTGGTTTGCTTACCCCCTCTTCTCCCAGCCCATTGCTGTGACAGTGTGAGTGGGGAAATGTTTAGACACTGAAGGGATGGTGAAGATCACAAAGCATGATAACGTGCTAATCTAACAGCGGCAAAATTATTAGGAACCAAAGGCTAAGTTCACGCAACTTTCAAGCTGAGAGCTTAATTGCAAAAAGAAGTCAGGGAAGTCAGAGTTAAGGCTCCCAATAGCAACGTTAGTGCTGGCACATAGCCCTTTACAATAGGCTCTTTCATCACAGGATACAAGGTAATACAAAACACTGTACCTGTGCATATAAGGTAACTGAGATGCCACTGTGATATTGGTATTATTTGAAAAGAGACAAGACTAGAAAGTGTCTAAGAAAGGTTGCATGAGGAGGGGGAAGGAGGCCTATAAAAGGACAGGCCTAGAAGAATTAAATCTGCTCCCCAGTGATTTGGTCTCTGACATGTCATTCCATATTCTTTATGAAAATATGCTTATATATGATATGATATGAATAGGACATAACTCAGATATACTTTATGCAAGATAGGTCTTGTGAGATATCATTGGAAAGGTTATGATTTATTGAATGTGATAATCCAATTGTATGCCTGTATCATTTCTGTATCTGAAGTTAGGAATATTTACTCTGTATCTATATTTCAACTATATTACTTTGAGTGATGCCCCCTGCTTACACTTCAGGTACAACAATGAAAAAGCCCGACAGTACTGATGGCCCAGCGGCAAGAGACAATGGATTGTAAAAGAGCTTAGTCTTCCTGTAAACTTGTGCGTCAGCCTGTGAAGAATGGCTACGGGGCCCTATAGAGGTATGTGACCATGTCACCTGATACTGAAACCCATCTTGAATTCTGTACTTTTCCATGAGAAGCTGTGGTGGGGGGAGTCAAACTATGAAACAAAGGACTCCCGCCTTATGCAAATCCTATTTAAGGGTGGGGAGTGAGGCAATCCAAGCCATCAATTCTCCCCCCGCTACCCCACCCAAGATGACTGTTAGAAACAACTAAGACTGAACTGGGGGAAAGAACTGGACCCACATTAGAAGGAGCATCTGGCCTGTGAAGAAGATTATTAGAACAACATTTAGGGTGAGAACTTTCATGTTACCAGTTTCTTTAATGTATTAAGTGTAGTTTGCATGCTCTGTTTTATGTTCTTAGTAATCTGCCTTGTTCTGTCTTCTACCTCCTTAACTACTTAAAATACACCTGTAATAGTTAATACATTTATTTCTGATTTACAGTATAACCCAGTTGATGTGATTTCTAATGAGGAGTGTGGGGGGAGGGAGAAGTTGTGCATACTCTCCTCCACATCGAGTGATGAGGCAAATTTCATATAATTTTGGGCTTCTACTCTAAAGGGGGTGGACATCTGTGTGCTGTGGCAAGCTCGTTAAGATGAGCCTTCTCAGAGTGGATCTCTGTCTCTCTGTGCAGCTGGGGGTGGCCCTGCCTGTGTGCTTGGCTGGAAAAGGCTGGGGAGCCTAGCCCAGCCAGACCAGGTAAAAGGGGGCCCAGGCTGGCAGAATAGTCTGACTCAGTGGTGTCCCAGCACATCAGGTGACATCCCAGGGGGTCCAGCCTGGCACAGGACCAGTCATAAGCAACACATAGGGGAGCATGCAGGGTCAAATGCCCTCCCCCCACTCCTGAGATTTCTGCTTGACTCTGTCCTTCTCCCACTGCGCCTTCCCCCTGACAGCTAGGCCCAGGTGGGGAGCAGAAGGGGCAGGACCAGCTGGACCAGCTGGCTGCTTCAGGTCGCCAATCTGTGCAGCGCTGCAGCTGCCTGAGAGACAGCCTGGCTGGGGAGGTGGTGGTGGCGGCGGGCCACCCCCCCCCTGAGCCCAGCTGCCAGGAACAGGGACCGAGGAAGCTGGAAACATGCTGATGGGAGAAGGGACTGCGGCTCGCTTGGCCACTAAGTCTGGCAGCAGGACCTGGACAGGGGGAAGCCCATTGCCGCCACCTCTCCAGCTGGGCTCTCTCTCAGGGAGCCAATGCACCTCACAGAGTCAACGACCCAGAGCAGCCAGCTTCAGCGTGTGAGAAGTGGCTCTGTCTCATTCCCTGCCCAGGCCCAATTGCTAGAGGAAAGCAGCCGCACGTGCCATTGTGGAGGCACAGCAGGAGAAGGACAGGGCACCTCCCCCCAGAGGTAACAGGTGCGGTGGCCCCAGGCTGGGTGCAGGGGGTCGTTGCGCAGAGACATGTGGGGCGGTCACATGTCCTCCTCTTTAGATTGTGCCCCCCACTATCAGGAGGCACGAGTCATCTACGGGCCCAGTTAAGTGGACTGAGCACGGGCGAGTTCCCGTGGGCCATGTGAGGAAAGATTCCTTCCTTCTCAGGCTGCACAACGGAAGCAGAGTTGCTTTGGCTCAGCTATTCCAAACTCAATGTATAAGGTGGCTCCGCCATGGCACGAGCAACTCATCCCTCCGCCGTGTCCAAACTTCTGCCTAATCCTAAACTTCTGGATGGTTTCCCAAACCTGCCTCCAAAATCTCATGACTTTCTAGGTTGTAGTATCTATGGTTTTTGCACCACTAAATGACACAGGAGAGAACAGAGAGGAAATGGAAAGCCTAAGTAGGCTACAAAGGAGATAGTTATTAAATCCCACCATTTTCATATGTTTTCCTGGTCTAAAATCAAGTAATTCCATTTATCTAATCCAGGGCATAGGGATGGGTGAGAAGTCACAGAGAAGATATTCTTAGGCTGTTCAATTTAGCTGTGTAGCAGCTATGCGTCTGCCTTACCAACCATTCATGATGGGAAGGAAAGGACTAAAGAAGTTGAATGGATCTTCTGGCTCAACCGTAGCCTAATCCTTGTATCTTTCAGGCTGCAAAGGTGGGTTCCAACTCACACTAAAGTGCATACTCATCCTGTACAACCCCAAAATACCTCCCTGCCACCCACACCCAGTGGAACCACCCCAATTCTAGTGCTTATGGAGCCCTGTACATTGGTGAAAATGGGGGCAAGATTTGTCCAGTAGCGACAGAGAAAGGCCTGGATGGAGACTAAGAAACTGGGCAAAAGGACCTGGGCGGAGATTTATGAAAGAGATACAGCAACTCAAAAGAGGGCTGGAAAGGGACTCCTGATGTCTCATTAAAAGATAGTTTTGAATGACTTTAGGAAATAACAGTTGTGCATGAAAGTTAAAAAAGCCCAGTTCAGGCCCTTCATTTTGTAATTTCAAACTCAATTTCAGATGTCTGACAATTTTCCCATGTACTTTATTCGCCATCATCGAAACATTTACCATAGTAAATGTGCCAACTTATCTATGATCAAAGCCCAGGCTGCTGCTGGTGCCAAATTGCTCTGTCTTGGCTGCACAGCAAAGCTTTCAATAGCAAATGTTATGCAAGGCCTCACAGAGATAAAGGGCAAGAAGTTAGCAGCAGCAAGTTCAAGATCTTTTCTTGGGAAAGCCATTGTTTGCAGCAAGCTCTCCAGCTATCCCACTTGAGTGAGACCTGGAGACCACTACTGCCCCCTCCTCTGTCTTTCAGCTTTCACAAAGGAGCTACCTAAAACACTGCAGTGCCCTGCAGACTGCTTGGGGAAAATCTCTGCTATATCCCACATATTAGTTCTTCATACATAGGCCTTAGAGCCAAAACACTGCATTATTATACTATAAACATTGCTCCTGCATCTGAAGGCTAGGGAATGTTATGGAATTGTCTATCTGTGGTTATGTGTGGACATCAAGCTTTTCTAATAAGAATATGATGAAAGGACATAGCATTCCCTAACACAGATGGCTCAAAGAGCTACAAAGCTACAAAGAGCTACAAAGAACAATATAAAGTATGTTTTGTTCAACAGGGGCTATATCTTCTGCCATAGGATTCATATTTCATAACTACTGCCATTAAAGTATAAAATACAAACAGTGGAAGAACTGTAAACTACATATACCATAGTTATGTCAAGTAGACATAGGAGAAATATTATAAGTCTGTTTCCTGTGTAATGCACCCTTCTCCTCAGATGAAGACTTTGAGGCAATTTGAGATGGCTATTACAGAATGAGTGACACTCTTTCATTAAGATTTGTATTTGGTTTTTGTTTTCCTTATTCTGAAATATAATTTATCCAAACAATGTACATAATTTGCTTTTTGAGGATGGAAATCACAGCAGTAAACCACCTAAAAGGCCACGATTGTGCTATACAGCACTTTTGAGTCAGTAGTGAAACACACACCCTGACCCTGCAAACTTTTATTCTACCAAATTAGTAATGTCAGTGTGATCAGGCCCACATTACTCACCTTCATTAACAGCATGAGGCTTAATAATGCAACAAGTACAGTCTGTAAATTTTGCACTATTGGCTGGACCACGGCCTCCACTTGAGGGAAAGAACAACTCCAGTTCCTGGGTGTAATTGAAATTGAAAATATTTTAGTGTTACACAGTTGCACGTCTCAGATCTTTAGCACACACAGTATTGTTCAGGGATATCCACAGCCTCATTTACTTAGATAGTGCTATAAGAACACCTATATTTATACTTCTCTCTCTAGCATCATTGATACCCAGGGCATGGCTAATCATTGTATCTCCCACATTGGCGGCTGTAAGCATTTCTTCTTCACTTTCCCACTTCCATCTATTCGCATTCAGTCTGTTCAAAATGTTGCTGCCATAATCTCCTCTCCCAAAATCGTCTCTTCCTAGTTTTCTGCCTTCAGGTCAAGCTTTTTCACTCCCACCACAAAAATTACTCCACAAATCCTCTCCCTTATTTATATCTCTGATCTCAGACCCCCTCCTCCCACATTCCATCCCTTTGCCTGTGGGAATGGTTGGAATCCCCACTCAGTTCTCAATACGGCACACACAGACATAAGGCTAGAGTCCAAACAGACCTCCTTCCCACTCATTTTGGGATTATCCTTAAACAAATAAACAACAAACTTTAGCCTGAACTTCTTGTCTGCCTTCTGTAAACCCTTTTCTTGCCTTAAAGACACTACCTTTTATGTTCCTGAATGTGGGTTAATGAGACCCATCTGTTCTGGCTGCCAGGGTGAGTAAGTAGAATAGCTCTGCACCAAAATGCAGTGCCCTACGAACCTGACATGTTGCGCACACATTCTGATCAAGCCTCTTTTCCAATTGCTCCTTTTGTTTCCTTTGCTCACCGCCAACTCCATGCCTTCCTTCCATGCTATTCATTCATTGTGCTCAGAACAGCCTGCCAATGAACATTAGCTAATCGCCCTGAACATGGCCTCCAATAAGATGCATTAGTCAACTTAAAAAAGGGAATTTGATTAATTTCCTTTTAAAGGAAATAATAACCTGGAGATGTTACCACTAAATTCATCTGATTCTTCCTTGTATAACAGGCTCAGGGTAAAGCTTATCTCCTTGAGTTCCCTATGAGGGCTTGTCTACAGTTACCGGGGGATTGACACACAATGATCGATGCATTGGTGGTCAATTTAGTGGGTCTAGTGAAGATCCGCTAAATCGACCACAGATTGCTCTCCTGTCAACTCCTGTACTCCACCTGAACGAGAAGCGCAAGAGGAGTCAGCGGGAGAGCGTCTCCCATCGACATCACGTAGTATGGACCCTGGGGTAAGTAGATCTAAGACATTGACTTCAGCTACGTTATTCACGTAGCTGAAGTTGCGTAACTTAGATCGATCTCCCCCCCATAGTGTGGACAAGGCCTCAGCTATTTAGTACTGCATTTCAGAAGGAATTAAGCTGAACTTAGATTTTCCCACTCCATCGCTCTTGTCCCTGTAATGACTTGTGATCCCTATCTAAACAATGAGCTAAACAATGCAATTTAGGGGCTCTTTCAATAGAAAAGAAGAAATTACTTCTGTTTTTGCTGCTACCAAATGTACCCTTATTTTAAGTATTTACACCTATCTGAGGCAAAGGGTTAACTTCCTGGATCCTTTTATAGATAATGAAGAGCATGTTTCAAAGACTATTCTATTCTGGTCTGTTGCCATTGACTACTGTTAACTTTAAATAAACAAAGTAGTCCCCAAAACACCAGGAAAAAGCAAAATAAGATAAAATATTTACAAGTGTAACACGTGTAACTGGCAATATACAAAACAGATTCCTGAAAGAACAGTAAGAGAAATGACTAAAAGAACCAACATTTCAGATACAGGAATACCAAACTAAATCTATGTGGAATTCTAAAAACCAAGAACCTTGTCCCTACAGATATTTTTTTCCATAGCCTTTTTCTTCAGAAGCTGCTATTCAGCTATGCTGGCAGTATGCCAGAGCAGAAATACAGGCTATAGTTACAGTACAAGGGCTACAGCAGCACAACTGCAGCTATGCCATTATAACAGACACTTGCTACAGAGACGGAAGGGGTTTTGCCATCACAGTAATAAATTCTTCCCTCAACCTAGTGGTGTCTACACTAGGGCATAGGTTGACATAACTACGTCTCTCAGGAGTGTGAATTTTTCACACCCCCAAGTGACATAGCTAGGTTGACCTAATTTTTAGGCGGAGACCAGACCACACTTTGACTCTTACCTTTCCAAGTGAAGGCATCTGGATCTTTCAATCTTACAGACTCAACCCATGAGCACAAATAACCACTGTGACCCAAACAGAATCTCAACGCAAGAGGGCAAGGGGCTTACTAGTATCTGATAGTGAGTTTCAGCTGGCCTGACCAGTTCAGTGTACCCACCTTGCTAATATCGTAACCTGTGCCTAAAAACAGGTTTCAGAGGAACAGCCGTGTTAGTCTGTATTCGCAAAAAGAAAAGGAGTACTTGTGGCACCTTAGAGACTAACCAATTTATTTGAGCATGAGCTTTCGTGAGCTACAGCTCACTTCATCAGATGTTTACCGTGGAAACTGCAGGTGCCACAAGTACTCCTTTTCTTTTTGTGCCTAAAAAGTGTTATGTAAGATATCAATAGAAAGCTAACAACATATTGATCATTAATACTATTGTGTGGTGTATACGTGATGGACTAATGCAAAATTATAAACATATTGGAAGTTACGTTCTTAAAGTGTTTGCCAGGCAGCATCGAAGTTACCCCCACCCTAGACAAAGGAATGTGGTTTCACCACCTTATAAGTACTTCCAAGGTAGATTAAGAAACAATGGGAATGTATTTACATAAGAGGTAAACAACAGCATCAAGGTTTCAGAGTAGCAGCCATGTTAGTCTGTATTCGCAAAAAGAAAAGGAGTACCTGTGGCGTTAGTCTCTAAGGTGCCACAAGTACTCCTTTTCTTTTAACAGCAACAAGGGGAGAAGATAACTACTCAGCATCATGGCAGGGGGAAGAGATTGCAGGAAACAGATCAGTTTGCATTGTAGATTACACCAGTCAGGAACCTTCTCCATCAGACTCCATGACCCTTTTCCTCACAGCAGAGGCAATTAACTTTAAGGAGGATTCATTTTCAAAAGTTCAATAAAAGGGAGGGGCAAAGAACCCCCAAGTGATCTTTCACCTAAGACGACAAAGGAGCTGAGCACTTTGTCTTTGTGGGAGATCCTGACCAACAGGGTGATCAGCCATCTTGCTGGAAGGTAGTGTGGTAAGAATCTGACCTTGAACCAAGACGGTAGGTTTCTTAAGTCTTAGCCTCTAGAAAGCGTTTTTCACTTTGATTTGCTTGTAACCATTTCCAGCTCTCTCCATCATACCTGGACTTACTAACAAACGGAGATAGGGTTTTAAATCAACTTGTTTTACTTTTAATCTAAACCATCACAGTGTGATAAGCTGTGAACTCTGTCTCCTTAGAGGAGCAAATAAATCTTCTTATTCCTCTGATGGGTCAAGGAAAGAGCTGGACATTGCAGACCAAACAGTTTGGGGAAAATTTGGGGCTGGGAGTGTGTTGAGTCAGTTGGTTAATAGTAACCATGGCTGGTGGATACCAGAGTGTGACTGGGGTATAACAAGCAGGTTGCTGAAATCTGAGTTGCTGAACCACAGCTGCTTAAGACAGAGATACTCAGTGAATGCTTGTCTGCTGATTGCTGGCGTCCAGGCTGAGAGCCACAGCAGCAGAGCATTTAAGGCACCCAGGGTAAGAGGGCAGGTGGTGCCACAACCCCTGACTGGTCTGGATTGGACCCCAGAACATGACACGCACCTTCACTACTCCCTTTCCTCGGCCCCTCCAAGCCCAAATTCCACTTCTCCTCCAAACCTATCATATGCAACCCAAGTTTCCCTGTGCCGTCAACAGTCTCGCTCTCTCACTTACAGTGCCACTATCCCACAGATTTTCCCCATGTCCCTCCACAAGTTCCCACTCAGACCCCACCTCATACACTTGCCCCCCCATAGCACCCAGAGCTTCCAACGTGTCACTTGTCAGAGCCCTGCTCCTTAAGCATGCCTCCACCACCATGCTCCTATACTCAACTAATACGTTTCAGAGTAGCAGCCGTGTTAGTCTGTATCCGGAAAAAGAAAAGGAGGACTTGTGGCACCTTAGAGACAAACAAATTTATTTGAGCATAAGCTTTTGTGAGCTACAGCTCACTTCATCGGATGCATTCAGTGGAAAATACAGTGGGGAGATTTATATACACAGAGAACATGAAAAATGGGTGTTACCAGACACACTGTAACGAAAGTGATCAGGTAAGGTGAGCTATTACCACCAGGAGAGTGGGGGAAAAAAACCTTTTGTAATGATAATCAAGGTGGGCCATTTCCAGCAGTTGACAAGAACGTCTGAGGAACAGCTGGCGGGGGGGGGGGGGGTAGCAGGGGAAACGGGGATAAACATGGGGAAATAGTTTACTTTGTGTAATGACCCATCCACGCCCAGACTTTATTCAAGCCTAAGTTAATGGTATCCAGTTTGCAAATTAATTCCAATTCAGTAGTCTCTCGTTGGAGTCTGGTTTTGAAGTTTTTTTGTTGAAGAATTGTCACTTTTAGGTCTGCAATCGAGTGACTAAAGAGATTGAAGTGTTCTCCGACTGGTTTTTGAATGTTATAATTCTTGACGTCTGATTTGTGTCCATTTATTCTTTTACATAGAGAGAGACTGTCCAGTTTGGCCAATGTACATGGCAGAGGGGCATTGCTGGCACATGATGGCATATATCACGTTGGTAGATGTGCAGGTGAACGAGCCTCTGATAGCATGGCTGATGTGATTAGGCCCTATGATGGTGTCCCCTGAATAGATATGGGGACACAGTTGGCAACGGGCTTTGTTGCAAGGACAGGTTCCTGGGTTAGTGGTTTTGTTGTGTGGTGTGTGGTTGCTGGTGAGTATTTGCTTCAGGTTGGGGGGCTATCTGTAAGCAAGGACTGGCCTGTCTCCCAAGATCTGTGAGAGTGATGGGTCATCCTTCAGGATAGGTTGTAGATCCTTGATGTGTTGGAGAGGTTTTAGTTGTGGGCTGAAAGTGATATTTAGTGGCGTTCTGTTATTTTCTTTGTTGGGCCTGTCCTGTAGTAGGTAACTTCTGGGTACTCTTCTGGCTTTGTCAATCTGTTTCTTCACTTCAGTAGGTGGGTATTGTAGTTGATAGAGATCTTGTAGGTATTTGTCTCTGTCTGAGGGGTTGGAGCAAATGCGGTTGTATCGTAGAGCTTGGCTGTAGACAGTGGATCGTGTGGTGTGGTCTGGATGAAAGCTGGTGGCATGTAGGTAAGCATAGCGGTCAGTAGGTTTCTGGTATAGGGTGGTGTTTATGTGACCATCGCTTATTAGCACTGTAGTGTCCAGGAAGTGGATCTCTTGTGTGGATTGGTCCAGGCTGAGGTTGATGGTGGGATGGAAACTGTTGAAATCATGGTGGAATTCCTCAAGGGCTTCTTTTCCATGGGTCCAGATGATGATGATGTTATCAATGTAGCTCAAGTAGAGTAGGGGCATTAGGGGACGAGAGCTGAGGAAGCGTTGTTCTAAATCAGCCATAAAAATGTTGGCATACTGTGGGGCCATGCGGGTACCCATAGCAGTGCCGCTGATTTGAAGGTATACAAATGTGAAATTGTTAAGGGTGAGGACAAAAGTCACAAAGTTCAGCCACCAGGTTTGCCGTGACATTATCCGGGATACTGTTCCTGACGGCTTGTAGTCCATCTTTGTGTGGAATGTTGGTGTAGAGGGCTTCCATATTGGCTAGGATGGTGGTTTCAGGAAGACCACCAATGGATTGTAGTTTCCTCAGGAAGTCAGTGGTGTCTCGAAGATAGCTGGGAGTGCTGGTAGCGTAGGTCACATGGCCACCACCCTATACCGGAAACCTACTGACCGCTGTGCCTACCTACATGCCTCCAGCTTTCAGCCAGACCACACCACACGATCTCCCCCCCTCCCCCCCCGCCGTTCCTCAGACGTTCTCTGTGTATATAAATATCCTCACTGTATTTTCCACTGAATGCATCCGATGAAGTGAGCTGTAGCTCATGAAAGCTTATGCTCAAATAAATTTGTTAGTCTCTAAGGTGCCACAAGTCCTCCTTTTCTTTCAACTAACACATGCATATCAATATTTTTAAGCTATGGCAATGTTTAATCTGCCAATGATAATATGTAACAATATGTATATACAGAAATGTTGACACATATAAACTTTTAAAAGCTGAGCATGGTAGGAATGAAGAGGGGCATGTTAGGGAACAAAGTATGGGGGAGCATGTGGTGCAGCTGGCAGTGGGGATGGTTAAGGGTGAGCAGGGTTATGCAAGGTGAAGCCTGGGGGCAATTCAGGATATGCACAGAAGAGTAACAATCTGGGTATCTGTGGGGGATATAAAGGGGAAAGAGCCATCTACATGATTAACTGCTAACATTGATACAAGCTTATTAAAACACGGGAAATTTCCACACAAAACCTTTGTGAACTTTGAGTTAAGGTTGTTCAGCTACATAGTGCAGCCACGGTTTATTGCTGTATTTCAGTTTGTGTTAAGCCATTCAAACACCCCATTTATTTCACTTCACAGCACACACTCATATTGATCAATATGCAACCACACATCTGTAATACCAACATGCACTCACAAATTTCAATTCTAACTTCTACGTAAATATTTGTAAGAGGTCACCAAATCCTGCGGCTTTTCCTAAGCATTACAGAAAAACAGATTGCAAACAGTGATTGCAAAATTACATTTTACCTCACTTACACACACCAGTCCAAAGCCACGTACAATGAAAGTCACTCTTACTCATATTAACCATCAAAACACAGGACTATAAGCACTCAACATGGTTGGAATTCCAGGGTGCTTGCTGATTGTTCAGGAAGATGGCTGAGATATGTGGGCGGCGGAAACGAAGTAATTATGGTTGGGAAGGGATGAGTGGAACGTTGCTGGCCTGTTGAATGATTTAGCTGCTTATTTCCTTGCTTTTTAGAATTTACATTGCTTAGCCATGCAGTCTATATAATTAACTCAAAGTTAAAGCATCTGTATTATATATAGGCTTGAAAGGATTACATTTTAATCGGCAAATGTTGATTTTAGTATATACACACATACCAACAAAAATATTTTCTTTGATAATAATCAAAATTTACACATATGCAAAGTAAGACTTTATGGGTCAAATCCAGCGATTTCGATTTTTGAATCAGGCTGGTTACAAATGGACTAATGAATTAATAGCAAGAGCAGGTATTAATTCATTTAAGGATATTTTACGGTCTATTTTGACATGTGATGATGACAAATTTGAGTTTTTACAGTTTATAAAGCTTTAACCTTTTGAACCTCAATGTCTACTGTCATTAAAGAATTGCTTGACTGCCTCCCCATAGTTTCCTGCGAACATTTAAATTGATAAAAATCTAAAGTAATAAAATAATAATAATAAAAATAAATAAATCTTACAAACATCAATATCTGCTGAAATTATAAAAAAATAATAATCGAATTCTGCCAGAAAGTGGTACAGAATGTGGCAGATGGGTTAGCCTCAGTGTCCTTGGCCAAATTTTCCAAGATTAGTCCCTCCAGGCCAGTGTGGAAGTATAAAGGCAGTATAGCTTGCACAGTTGCTATTTGCACTGTGGATAAAGACTCTGTCTACAAACGTGTCACTGTAGAACATTCAAATCAGCACTAAATTCAAATGAAAAAAATAAATGGGATTTCTGTACTGATTGCAGACTGATCATTAGATTAAGTAAAAATACAGCTTAGCAAATGAACATAATGAATAAATATATTAAAAAACTTACTTGAGCAGCAGAAGCAAAAGAGTCAGGGCCATGAGCTGCATTTCTTATGCCATCTGTTCCAAACATTGCTCTAATGCTGCCCGGGGCATCAGAACGAGCCACGCCAGAGTTTGCAGGTCCCAGTAACTTCTTCCATTCAGACACGGCATCATCTCCTAAAATCTCCATGGCAACAGCAGGACCACTTGTAATAAATAGGAGAAGCTCACTGCAAAACAGACATAGAACAGGCAGGGAATTCACTATACAGAGAACAACAAAAATCTATGGACTGGTTCTCAACTCTCACTAGTGTCATAGGAAAGGATAACAGTCCACAGCACAGCCCACAGGCTCTGGAGGAATACTGGGTGGGATAAGGCAGGGGCAGCGGAGGCAGAAGACCACTGGTGAGCCATTCCTTCTTTCCAGTTGTGCTCCTTCCACCTTGTGACACATTGGTGTCCTTCTAACAGACTCTACTCAGCCTGTAAATTTTTCCTCATTAAAGCAACATGAGTACTCCTATTGGAGACCTCCGCCTCCTTCATCCACCTCTACACACCTCTAAATCCTCTTATCCAGTACTTGCCATCCTGACAATTAGATTCTCTCTCACAGAGGGGGACACACTCAACCTGTACCTGCTCCCTCACATCTGAGAGAGGCCTTGCATCAAAAATGCGTGTTACCTCAAAATATTCACTCCACCATGTGCTTCTTCCCTGTGAGACATGGAGGGGACTCTAATCTCTGCCCCTCACTAAAATGGGAAACTGAATTCTAGTGAAAGTGGTCCCTCTTAGCCTTGCTAATCATCTGTGATTAAGGTAAAAAGTAAGATAAGACAAAAATATACTGTACGTAATTTTATAACTATAATTTATTTGTTTACCACAGGCAATGCACTCAGTGCTGTACAAGCCACAGAGATAAAGACAATCCCTTCGTTGCAGACTGCTGCAGTCTTTCCATTGAAAGAGACAGACTGAGAAGTCAATATATACTGGGAAATAAGAGCAGGGAAAAGAAAGTTGTTTGTCGCTTTTTTATATTGCAAACTCACAATTTCTTGGTATCATGGAAGTCATCAGATATTGGGGGAAGATTTGAATAAAGAGAAGGTGATGTGAGGAAAACATAAGGAATGCATGGTTAAAGACTCAAAAACTAGGAAATCCCAAAGTTAAGTTTGAATACATGTAACTTTAATTCTTCTCCCTTGAACATATACATCATGATATAGCTTTCAGTTCACAGTCGCATACTATCATCTCTGCAGCAACCCACCTCATTCAGTTTGAAGGCTGGATGCTGCACAATGAATGAAAAAGTTGTGCGAGGTTTTTTTTATTCAGTTATTGTTATGGTTATATTTTTTATGGCTTATAGACAAATACAGACAGACAAAAAATAATTTCTGAAAAGCTCCATATTTCTTTAAAAAACTACTGTGCAATCCATTTACATTAATACATACGTAAAATATGAAATTTAACATTCTTAACATTTAATCCCCAAAAAGTTAATAGCTACTTTTCTCTGCTATTCAGTAAACCTTCATTAACTACCTATCTTTTCAATTAAATCTGAAAGTCCAGTTTATGCAACACTATAATAAACCTCTAATAAAATGCTATATGTAATTGGGTATGAGAATTTACATTTTATCAGCATGAGGATGCTTTTTTGGTTCACTTACTGTAGCAAAATCCCATACAACAGATATCAGGTTTTGCTGGATGGCAGACAGAGTACATCATAGTGAATAGAGGGCTTACAGTTTCTCAGCCTGCTGCTAGTTTAGCAATCCATAAAATAACACTGCAGACAGAATTCTTGTTCATTTATAAACTTATTGAAGCAGACTTGTTCAGCCAAGAAAAAATGACAACTCTTTGTTTTCCTAGAATCTATACTATAGTCTGACATTTCCTAGGGTCATTTCTCTACAGTGGACAGAAGAAAACAACCTGCACCTACAGAAACCGATTGCTGCTCCTAGAATTAGGTGACAATTTCTATATTCCCAATGCTCAGGAACCTCATGACAGTGCTGCACTTGGCTCTCTGTCAGTTGCAATTTCTTGTTCTGCATGACCAAAAACATTAGCATGTCTACACGGTGGACTTTAAAGCACTGCTGCAGCAGCGCTTTAACGTGGCTGTGTAGTCCTGGCAGAGAGTGGCTGTAAAAAAGGTGGCTGTAAAAAAAACCAACCCACATCCGTGAGGGGAATAGCTCCCAGCACTACCTACACTGTCATTTTACAGCGCTGAAACTTGCGTCGCTCAGAGGGGTGTTTTTTCACACCCCGAGCGAGGAAAGTTTCAGTGCTGTAAGTGGCAGCGTAGACAAGCCCTAACTAGGGTTGACCTGAACCAATTACACTGTGATAAGAGCTGTTAACCTGGGTCCAGACTCAGGAATATATTAGCTACCCCACCTTCTTTGCTAATCAGATAAAGCCTATGTGTAAATAACAAATAGCATTTATCCATTATGCACTGTAGCGGGGTGTTCACCCTGCTCCGGCCCTGAAGGGGTTAAAACAGCCCTGGTAGAGGGCTGCCCTGGGAAGCCAACAGTAAAAGCAGCCCTGGAGAGGAAGCAGCTGGGGAAAGAGGAGGAGAGGCTGGGGGAAGCTGAGTGAATAGCTGATCACAGCTGTAGCCAGCTCAGTCAGGGCCCAGTTGGCCCTTATAAGAGGACTGCGGGCCAGGAGCTGAGAGACTCTCACTGCTGTGGGAGCAAGGTACCTGAAGTGAAGCAGTGCTGGGGAAGGGCAAAGGGAGTTGGGAAGCTCCAGCCTGGTAAACCCCCAGGCTGCAGGCCTTGTTGAAGGCCTACAAAAGGTACTGGGGCTATAGAGGTGCAGCCTGGGAATAGGCAGAGGCAGCTGGTCCTAACCTCTTGCCAATGATGAGTGGCCATTACAGACTGCAGTCTGCCCCAGTGAACAGGGGCTAGATGATGACTGGCAGTAGCCACTGAGGCAAGGTGGGTTTAGAGGGTTGGGGGTTCCCCTGGGAGGGGAGACCAGAGTGTGGGGGTACTGCTGGGGCAGAACTCCAGGGTAAAGGGCACCTGGGTCCAGGAGGGACACGGGGCCAGTGGTAGGTGAGACACAGGCCTACAGAGGGCGCACTGTAAGCTGGAAAAGAGGTAAATTCCCAGATGACCAGCAGGAGGCGCCACACCGATGAACTGTCGCTTTGCTACATGCATCCTAATTAAACTTGATGCATGAGGAAACTGGAAGATTTTATACAGCTACATACACACAAATATATAAATATTTTCATCCAGCGTTTATGGAGAGATCAAGTATTTCATAGTTTCATGCAATATGAAACAGCAGAGCCACACAGAGTTCTGTATCTTGTCCAAGACCAGCCATATATAAGATATGTGCCCCAGGTGCCACACTTTTTGAAATACTTGAGCTTTTGCATATTTGCTACCAGAAGGGTATCCAGGACTGGATGGTACTCTGCAATTCTCACTGATTGCAAGCCATATTCTGTATCTGGAGAGTCTCCTTCTCATGCTTCTTTTTAGCTAGGGTCATTTTCACATCTCATAGGGTGGATGCATTCATTGGTGCTCGGGATTGTGGAACTGGGCACCGGACAGCTAGGCCCATCTTAGGAGGAAGTTGGATGGGGTCCCCACACAAAACTTTGCATAGGCTCCCTTGAAACTTAAGCCCAGTTCTGTTTTTGCCACATTCTTGTAGTGTCACAGGCATGTGAAATGAATGCCATGCACTGTAAAGAAATTTCTCCAGGACAATCTTTTCCTGTACAGTAAGTGAACATAACCTCAAAAGTATGTACGTACTTGTAAAAGGGCTTTGATTGATGGTCTACATGGAGATCCATTGCTTCTTTCCTAGAAAAGATTTTAAAAAACCCTGCATGAACCATTAATGAACAATTATATAATAAAGTGCCTATGTGGGAAGTTTCTTCCCAATACCAGGTAGTTCGTGGGTGGCTTATGCCCTAAAGCATCAGGGTTAACATACCGCATACATTTTTATCGTAACAAGTGCAACTCTGAATATTCCTTTTACCCAGAAAAATTGATAATCCTCTGGGTCCTCTTTCGAATTCTACTAAGCTCTTGGCTTCTATGGAATCTTGTAGGAATGAGTTCTACAGTTCACAACACATGGTGTGTAAGAGCATTCCCTTCCAGTAGTTTTAAATGTGTTGCTTCTCAAACTCTCTAACTGTAGCTATGTTTTTGTATTATGACGAAGGGCAAATAGGAGCACCATAGCCACCTTCCTTCTACCATTTGCTATTTTACAGTTTTCATATTCAACCTCAGATTGGACATGCCTGTCAATCTATTCATCCAGGCAGAGCAGCAGCTAATTTGCCTCACTCTAACTGGTTTACTTGCCCAGACTAGACTTTTTGTTGTCCTGGAATGCCAGACAATAGGATTTTTCATAAACTGGTTTCTACCTAATGTTTGCAAGTGTTGTTCCAGGACACAAAATATCACAGTGCTCTCCAGATTTCAGGAGGACTTTTGTTTGTTTGGTTTGGTTTGGTTTTTTTAAACATGGAGAAAGTGTTCCCCCCAGGACTTCCCCACTTTTGGAAACTCACTACAGCTTTGTGTTTTCCTGTAGGTACACACCAACTGCCACATTCTGCTTCCTTGCCACTTGACTGAGGTGCTGTAATGCAGTGGTTTTCAACCTTGTCATGCAACTGAACCAGTTTACCAGACTAAGATCTCAGTTGTACCAGCCAGTGACTTTCTCATCACATCCTCACCTGCGATTAACAACCTCCTCTCCTCCCTACTTTAGGGCTATATTCTGTAGCTGCTCCATGTGTGTAACTCCTGTTGGTTCTACCAGGATTTCTGCATGTGGAGTGGCTAGAGAATTCATGCATGGTCTCTAAGTCCAGCCTAGATGCTGGGCGGCTTCTTAACTTCAATTCAAAAGTGCACGCTCTAATCCATAATTGGTCTTTCTTTATTCTGAATTCTGGAGAGCACCAGATTCTGAGGCTATGATGTGGCAAAATCCAAATTCTCTTGGGGATTAGAGCTAGCACAACTGAAGACAGGCAATGGCTGAACAACAATGCTCAGACCACAGGCTAAGTCAGGAGTTCACTATTAAGATGAGGAGTGAAGTTGCAGTGAGGCTCGTGGACAAGGCAAACACCAGTGACAGGAGCTTGAAATAGCACTGGAGGAAACCATGCTGTTGTGTACTTCTCTATTAACTACCCATCTGGAAACATTGTCTTTGTAAACAAAGACAGTTCTGTGAATTTTTAGTCTCCATGACTCCACTCATATTGCTGAGAACCGGATGCGGTTATCAGCACAATTTTTAGAACACAGAAACCAAGACTGCACAAATGCACAGTGTGGTCACATCTTTAAAATGACTTCCCAGGTCCACTCATTTTTCAGTACATCAGTGTTTAAACTAACTTCTATGAAGACAAGGAGGAAAAAAAGAGACATGTGAGACACAAGAACTACAGTTACAGTCACTGGGCCCGATCCTGCAGTCCTTACTCCAAGTGGGTGAATAATTTCTAATGAAGACTTTATTTGAAGAATTTAATTTCTCACTCTCCACAGTTCATGATTTTCTCCAATTTATACATTAGTCAAATTTCAGGTCTGTAGCTTATAGTTCACTGCAAGTATCTGACATTCAAAATTTGAGCCATTTTAACTGGACAGGTCTTGTGGTATGTTTCTGTTTATTGACTGGAGGAGTGAAGTTTTCAGAAGGAAGTTTTTTATGTGAATACTCATTATGTCAAATCAAAAACTAATTTTCCACAAATATTCTAAATATTTGCTTAAAATTCCCTATTATGGCAGTAATTCCTACCAGTAAGCTATTCACTAGAATATTCATGGAAAGTGTATAAAAATGGGGCATGAACCCAGCCTAAGCTACATAATGTATAAATCTGAACAAATATTTGTGGATATTTTTTCAAAATATTTGCTCAGCCCTACTGCTTAGTCAAAAATCTCGTATGGCATTAAACAAATATAAAACCAATCTTGCTAGCTATAACCCTAGTTCCCATTCTCTGTCAGCAGATCCCCACTTGTAGAACATGGAAAGTTGCATTCATCTTGGACAATGAGCTGATTTGAGAAGTGATTAGCTGAAAAGATTGGAGAACTGACCTATCAAAGCAGGCGTCTGCCCTTGATTTCATACCTAAGCAAGGGTTTTACAAAAGCTGTGAATCAAGTTAACAGGGTCTGCCAGGCAAATGGCAGCAATAAGTCCCTTTTTACAAAAAGCGGGGGGCAAAGCGGGGAACAGAAGCTGAAGCTGATCTGGACAAGCCATCCTAGAGGGATTTTTGGGATTGGGACTTTGACATTACTATATGCTATCACTAAAAATACGGTGCAAGTCCAAGGGACAAAAGTACAGGGTCTTGTGAAAACCACAAATACCCAGCCACCATTTTAGATTCATCCCACATCACTGTCCAATTATGGTTTCATTAATAATAATTTTGCAGGGCAGGCAAGGAACTTTTCTAAACGAAAGGTAATAAAAATGTACATCTCATATAAACTGCTTGGATTTCTTTTCCTCAAGGTAAGCTAAATCCAAAATATATAAAGTGGTTCAACAGAGATTCAGTTATCAGAGAAACTGACACACAAGGAAGCACCCAGCGCTCGAGGAGCAACATGCCAAGACAGCAGAAGTTAAGTCAGGCCACAAAATGGTTCATATTAACAGAAGACTGGAGGGTTGAGAGGGCTGCATTCAAGAACTAGAACTGTGTGGCAGGTTCTGGGGACTGGCATAGTCACAGACAGCAATATGTGATTACTGGAGAGGTGGTCTAGCACTGTCCTACCACTACCTCAGAGGGCAGACAAGCTAACGGAATTCCTCCCTGTCTTGTACTGGAACCACAAGATGCAAGAGTAAGAATCCTGTGAGAATGATTTTTTCTCTCAAAGAGATGTTGGAGTAGAGAGGTATGACACAGCTGTAGCTGAGGAGCAGTGCAGTGACTTTGGGGAAATCCTTTATGGTAGATCTACCAACTCTACCTTTCTTTTTTCCCCAGCATGCCCTCTTCTCCAAATTTTACTGCTCAGGAACATGGGGGGGGACACAAGGTAGAGGGTTCAAAATCCACGCATGGGCTGGTGCTGGGCCTGGCCCTGGCTCTGTCCTGACTTGTGCCCCACAGGTTGTGGCGTGTCTGGGGAGCTCCACAGCCATGGTAGAAGGAGCAAGGCTCTGTGTTCCTAAAGCCAAATCTTGACTTTATAACTTGACTTTAGTAAGGCTTTTGATACTGTCTCGCATGACCTTCTCATAAACAAATTAGGCAAATACAGCCTAGATGGAACTACTACAAGATGAGTGCATAACTGGTTGGAAAACCATTCCCAGAGAGTAATCAATAGTGGTTCACAGTCAAACTGGAAGGACATACTGAGTGGGGTGCCATAGGAATCAGTTCTGGGTCCGGTTCTGTTCAATATCTTCATCAATGATTTAGATAATGGCATAGAGAATACACTTTGCAGATGATATCAAGCTGTGAGGGGTTGCAAGTGCTTTGGAGGATAGGATTAAAATTTAAAATGATCTGGACAAACTGGAGAAATGGTCTGATGTAAATAGGATGAAATTCAATAAGAACAAATGCAAAGTACTCCACTTTGAAAGGAACAATCAGTTGCACACATACAAAATGTGAAATGACTGCCTAGGAAGGAATATGATAGAAAGGAATTGGAGGGTCATAGTGGATCACAAGCTAAATATGAGTCAACAGTGTAACACTGCTGGAAAAAAACAAAAACAAAAACCCCATCATTCTGGGATGTACTAGCAGGAGTGTTGTACGCAAAACACGAGAAGTAATTCTTCTGCTCCACTCTGTGCTGATTAGGTCTCAACTGGAGTAGTGTGTCCAGTTCTGGGCCCCACATTTCAGGAAAGATGTGGACAAATTGGAGAAAGTTCAGAGAACACCAACAAAAATGATTAAAGGTCTAGAAAACATGACCCATGGGAAGATTGAAAAAATTGGGTTTGTTTAGTCTGGAGAAGAGAAGACTGAGGAGGGACATGATAACAATTTTCACATACATAAAAGTTTGTTACAAGGAGGAAGGGAGGTAAATTGCTCTTGTTAGCCTCTGAGGATAGGACAAGAAGAAATGGGCTTAAATTTCAGCAAGAGAGGTTTAGGTTGGACATTAGGAAAAACTTCCTAACTGTCAGGGTGGTTAAAGTTGAGGTCCCTTCCAGTCCTATGATTTTAAGAATATGGATTTATTACAAGGCAATAACCCAACCACCTTTATAGAATTATACAACAATCAGCAGCTCAGCTTGCATTATGAAGTCAGGTAATACAGGTTAGGGGCAAAGAAATATTATCTGAGTTTTAAATCCATGATATTGATTTCAGTTTTATAAAAGGCATACACTATATTTACTTACAGTAACACCAATAACATTTGTATACAACATTTTTGTATTACTCGGACATTGTCAGTAATTGAGTCATGGGCAGTCTGGCCTAGTCATTGGATCAAGAGTCTGGCCTAACAGTTAGAGCTGAGTCCAGACCGGGTGGTTCTAGGAGCAAAGCCAGGGTTGTAGCCAGGAGTCAGCGGCCAAAGCCTAAGCTGAACGATCAACTGGAGTCACAGTCAAAAGGTGGAGCCAAGGGTCTGAGTTTGCCTCATGTTCTCTTGGAGACTTGGATTTCCCATTCCTCATGCTCCTTTTGGCCTGGGCGCCTGTGGGAGGTGGTGGTGGAGCAGAATGTCTGGGAAAGGGATTTTCCGCATATGGTTTCAGAGGGACACATGGAACTCTTCGAACTGTCCCGATAGGGGGCTAGAAGTCTCCAGGAGGGCAGATGTCCAGGCCAGGGCCTCCCAAATTAGCAGTCTAATAAGAAGTCCTACTTGGGTCTGGTCAGAGGAGAACGACTGGGGCCAAAGCAGGAACAGGAGGCAGCACTAGCTCATGAAACCATGGAACTTGTTATGGTCCCCATCAAACTTATCCTGCATTAAAATCTCCAACTCCCTAGAAGCCAGGGCAACAGATATGGGTGGGACAGCTTGAGCCTGTAGTGCTGCAGTTTGTACTGCAAGACCATAAGCTGGGACCATAGGGTCTGCAGGATTCCCAAAACATCCTGCAGGTGGACGACTGACTCTGAGGAATCCATCTGAAGGGCAGTCCAGCCACTTACCCACCCTTGTTCAATATTTTGGGTTCCTCAACCTGTCAGTGACTGAGTTGTGGGCAGTCTGGCCTAGTGTTTGCAGCATGACTCTGGCATACCAGTTTGAGCTGAATCCAGACAGAGCAGTTTCAGGAGTGATGTCAAGGATCATAGCCAGGTGTCAGAGTCCAAAGCCTAAGGGTCAACCAGATTTAAGACAGAAGGTGGAATCGAGGCTCTGAGCTGGGAATCAGAAGTCAAGAAGGAGTTGTGGGGTGGAACAGGAGCAGTCTGGGGCTAGAACAGGAACAAGGCTACAGAAAGTGGAGGCAAGGGCAGGAACAAACATAGCGATGGGCTAAGAATGCATTGAGCAGCAACTGAACTGCTACTGAGTGTAAGTATCAGTCTGTTCACTCCTTCAGTCAATCAGATGGCTCAATCAGACAGCTTCTATCAGAGCCAGCAGCATTCACTGGATTGCCTAGAGAGAGGCTCTGCTGCAGGTTAAGCCCAACAAACATCCTGAATTATGCATCATATGAGAAACCTAGATATGATTATGAAACAGATTATTTTCTTTGCTACTCAGTGGAATAGATCTAATGTTCTGAACAACATGGAATAACTGTGAGGATACACTTCAGTACAAAATAATCAAATCCTACATGGAATGTTAATAGAGCCTTACCGTGAAAGTACCATCATTTTGGCTTTAGTTATTGTTAACCCAGCATTAATGATGATATCAATTAGGTCTCCAATCTTGGGTACTGCATCAGGTTTAACCAAAGCCAGTGTTCTGAAAAAGCAGAACAAAAATAATTTGGAATTTTCATTCTTTAGGAAAAGACAAAGTTAAAGTTACACTTAAAGAAAAAAGCCTCACAAAAGGAAATACAGAAATGCACAGTTACAGTCATCCAACAATTTTACCTCAGTCCTTACTGACCTTCCAACCAGCACAGGCATATCTTTCATGTACGATAGAGGCATTAAAACCTTAAAAAAATGGTTATCTACCTTTTCGTAACTGTTGTTCTTTGAGATGCGTTGCTCATGCCCATCTCATTCTAGGCGTGTGCATGCTCATGTGCACAGTCCTTGGAGATTTTTGCCTTAGCGGTACCCATAGGGTAGGCTGTAGTGCCCTCTTGAGTGCCGCGCTCATGTGCTTGTATATTAGGCGATGCCGACCCTATGCATTCTCAGTTCCTTCTTGCTGGCAATTCTGACAAAGGAGCAGGAAGGCAGGTAATGGAATGGACATGAGCAACACATCTCGAAGAACAGTTATGAAAAGGTAGGTAACCGGTTTTTCTTCAAGTGCTTGCTCAAGTCTATTCCATTCTAGGGTGACTCACAAGTAGTATCCTCAGAAGTGGGCTCAGAGTTCACAATTTAGTGGCTTGGGCATAGTGGATAAGTGCATAATGAGACATGAACATGTGGTTGGACGACCAGGTGGCCACACTACAGATGTCCTGGATAGGTACTTGGGCTAGGAAAACTGCCAAAGAGGCTTGCGCCCTGGTTGAGTGGGTGGTGACAATCGCCGGAGGTGGCTCCTTCACCTGATCGTAACACCAGTGAATGCAAGCAGTGATCCAAGAAGAAATTCTTTGAGCAGACACTGGACGACCTTTCATCCTGTCGGCCACCACAATGAATTGCGTCAATTTGCAGAACGGCTTGGTTCTTTCAATATAGAAGGCTAGCACCCTCATGACATCTAGAGAATGCAATCTACACTCCTCCTCCAATTTATGCGGCTTTGGAAAAGACAGGTAAGTAAATGTCCTAGCCCATATGAAACTGCGAGACCACCTTGGGCAGGAAAGCTGGGTGTGGCTGCAGCTGGACCTTGTCTTTGTAGAAGACTGTATAGGGTGGTTTCGAGGTAAGCGCTCTAATCTCTGAGACCCGGCAGGTGGATGTTATCACAACTAGGAACGCGATCTTCCAGGACAGGAGAAGGAGAGAGCAAGAAGCCAGAGGCCCGAAGCGGGGTCCTGTGAGCCGTGACAGCACAACATTCAGGTCCCGGGGAAGAATGGGGTCCCTGACATGTGGGTAGAGACACTTGAGGCCCTTGAAGACCTGGCAGTCATATCCCAGGCAAAAACAGACCTACCCTCCAGCAGCGGATGGAAGGCCGAAATAGCAGCCAAGTGGACCTTGACAGATGAAAGGGACAGGCCTTAGAACTTGAGATGCAGAAGATAGTCCATGATCAACTGCTGCGAGGCCCGCTCAGCCCGAATACCTTTATCCAAGGTCCAATAAGTGAACCACTTCCATTTGGCTAGGTAGGATGCTCTGGTAGAGGGCTTTCTGCTACCCAATAAGTCCTGCTGGACAGCTGCTGAGCACTCTGGCTCCTCCGAATTTAACCATGCATCAGCCAAGGTGTCAGGTGCAGTCCTGCCAGGTTTGGATGAAGGAGACTGCCGTGGTTTTGGGACAGCAGGTCCGGCCTGAGCAGCAGCTGTAACAGAGCAACCAACGAGAGGTCCAGCAGCGTGCTGAACTAGTGCCGGCATGGTCAAGCTGGTGCTATGAGGATCACCTTCGCCCTGTCCTGCCTGATTTTGACGAGGACTCTGTGAATCAGCAACACCAGAGGGAAGACGTACAATAGAGCCCCCGACCATGGGAGCAGAAAAGCGTCCGACAGGGAGCCACTGTTTATCCCCCAAATCAAGCAGAAAACATGGCAATTCCTGTTCTGCCAGGATGTGAACAGGTCCACCTAGGGAGTTCATCTTCCAGAGGTGGGGAAGTTGGCCACTTTCAGATGGAGAGACCATTCATGGCGAGACGAGAAGGTCCTGCTGAGGCGATCTGTCAAAGTGTTCCTGGGCCTCGGGGAGGTGTGAGGCTACAAGATGGATATCGTGTTATACACAGAAGTCCCAAAGCCTGAGGGCTTCCTGGCAAAGGGCAGACAACCTGTTCCCACCTTGCTTGTTGATACAGAACATAGTCACTATTGTCCATTAGGACCTGGACCACCCTGCTTTTTATGTGAGGTAGGAAGGCTTGACAGACCAGGAGAACCACTTTGAGCTCCCTGATGTTGATCTATAGGGAGCAATCGTGACTCGACCAACGACCTGATGTGCTGAGATCGCCCAGGTAGGCTCACCTCCCCAGGTCCGAGGCATCAGAGATGAGGGTCACGGACAGGGACGGAGTCATGAAAGAAACCTCCTCCAACACCGATGCAGGATTCCACCACCAAGTGAGTGATGACATTCCATGGTCTGGGACCCTGACCACAGGGTCCACACTGTGTCGGTTGGGGACGTAGACTGACACCAGCCATGCCTGCAGGGGCCTGAAGCAGAGCCATATGTGCCGGACCACTAAGTGCAGGCTGCCATGTAGGCACGTGTGAGAGGGTGGGCTTGCATGCACGAGATCAGGTCTGCCATGGCTTGGAACTGAGCTTCAGGAGGAAGGCTCTGGCCTGAGTAGAGTCAAGGATTGCTCCAATGAACTCTATGCGTTGTACAGGCATTAGGGTTGATTTTTTTCTTGTTTATCAACAGATCCAGGCTGCAACAAGTGGAGCAAACCAGATTGAGATATCAACGCACCTGATCTCAGGACCGACCCTTTATTAGCCAGTCATCGAGGTATGGATAAATTTGCACCTCATGTCACCTCAGGTAAGTGGCCACCGGTGCTATTTACTTGGTAAACGCTCTCGGGGCTGACATGAGACTGAAGCGCAGCGCTGTGAATTGAAAATGGCGGTGGCCCAAAACAGAGGAAACGCCTGTGCCCCAGGAAAGTAGAAATATGGAAGTGCGTGTCCTTCAAGTCAAGGACAGCAAATCAGTCTCCCGGATCCAGGGAGGGAATAATGGAAGCCAGAGAGACCACGCAAAACTAACTTCTTGAGAGATTTGTTGAGGAGAAGCAGGTCCAGAATGGGTCTGAGGGCCCCTTTTGCTTTTGGGATTAGGAAATAATGGGAGTAGAACCCCTTACCCCTCAAGTCTGGAGGGACCTCTTCTACTGCCCCCAGGCGTAAGAGGCTCTCGACTTCTGGAAGGAGGAGTTGCTCGTGAGAAGGGTCCCTGAAGAGGGAAAGGGAAGGGGGGCAGTAGGGAGGGTCGGCCACAGGGTGTAGCCCGAAGATGATATGTTGAGCAACCAACGGTCCGAGGTCAGCCGCAATCAGGAGGACCAGAAGGGGTGCAGGCGGTTGAGGAAAGAGCAGGGGGGTGGATTCTGGAAAGTGACTGGGGCATCATCTTCGGGCGCATCCTCAAAATGCCTGCTTCTGGCTTCCTTGGCCTCTGAAAGAATCAGGATGGGCAGAGGAACGGAAAGACAAAGGGCGATGCCATTTAAATCCTTTGTCTCTGTCCTCCTTTTTGTAGGAGCTGGACCAAAGGATACCCCAGGACCTCAATGGAGGCAGAGGCGGTGGGGGACGGAAAGGCTTTCTAGCCTGCTGAGGGGTGTGTAGGCCCAAGGAGCTGAGGGTGGTCTTTAAGGCCATGGAGCCGTGCATCGGTCAGCTCCGAAAAGATCTCTGATCCCTCAAACGGAAGGTCTTGAACAATAGTCTGCATCTCCTGGGAGAGCGCAGAGGACTGTAACCAGGAGCTGCACCTCATGATCACCGCAGAAGTGACCACCCTGGCTACTGAATCCAAGGCCATATGGAGGGTGCCTCTTACCACCGCTCTGCCCTCATCCACCAAGGCGGTGAACTCCTGGGCTCGGTCTTGTGGGACTCCTTGAATTTGCTGATGGAGTCCCACAGGTTGAAGTTGTACCTGCCTAGCAGGGCCTGATGGTTAGACATGCGAAATTGCAGGCTGACTGTCAAATAAATTTTCCTGCCAAACAAGTCCAGCCTCTTGACATCTATTTTTCAGTGTGCCGCTTGCCTAGCCCTTTTGTTGATGGCGGACACAACCAGGGATCCCACTGGAGGGTGGGTGACAGGTACTCAAAACCCTTTGCGGAGACATAGTACTTCTCTTCCGCCTTCTTAGAGGTAGGCAAAATGGAAAAGGGGGTCTGCCATAATTATTTAGCAATTTTAAGGACCCCTGGAGGGATGGGCTGTGCAACCCAGGCCAGGGTAGTAGAGGATATGACATTAAAGAGGTCGTCAGATTCCTCCGCTAGCTCCTCGACCTCCAAGTTCAGGTTGGCAGACACCCTTCTGAGCAGGGCCTGGTGCTCCTTGAAATCATGCGTGGCACCGTTCGCTTGTGAGGGGCCTGCCACTGCTTCATCTGGAGACGATGAAGATGACTTCACAGCAGGGGGAAGGGCAGCTTCCCCTTGCTCATCCCAGGATGGCTCCTGGGGTGTTGGGCCCACTGTGTCGCACCCACATCTGATTCGGCACTGTGCTCTGACTCAGGTGCTGGAGGCGGCTTGTCCAATGCGGCCTGGGAGGAACAGTGGGAGTATGGGACTGGCCTAACAGGTACACCCCACGGGCTCCAGTGCTGCCTCTGAATGGGCCATTTCCCCTGCCTCCACGCCACCACCGCAGGAACCGCGCTGGTCTCGCCTTTTATAGTTGACGGTCTGAACTCCCCTTCAGACTCGGACCATTGCCTGTTCGGTGACCAGGGCAGAGCCGTAGATGCCTGCATCTGCCGACGGACCCTCGTCTGCAACTGGTAAGGAGAGGGTGAGGACTGGTGCCTGCCCAAAGAGTGGTACCGGGGAGCTGGAGACGGGTGCCGCAACCGGGAACAATCCCGCACCGGGGGGATTGACACCTGGGAGACCGCCTAAGTGATATAGATCTGCACCATGGTGAACTCTGGCTGGAAGCCAGACGGTACGATGGGTACGGGGATCGGCGTTGTGACTCAGGTGTTCCATGCCTTGCAGGCAGAGACCTTGGCAGCAGGGACCTGTGTCTTCTAACTGGGGACCCAGGCCACGGTGATGGGGATCAACGTCTATGGACCAGGGATGCGCTGCTGCTTTAGGGGGCAGTCCCATAACTGGCTTGCCCATAGATGCTGGGGCTTTGGTTGGTTCCATCGCATGGCTTGGTGTCTGTGATGGTGGCTGGCCTACATCCTCTTTGGCCACCGGGCCCACTCCAGGCACAGATGACCCTACTAGGGGATGGGACCCCATGCCGCTCCCAGGAGTCAGACGTGGGTCCCTGGCTGGACTGGGAGGTCTGACCGCAGCAGTACCCCTGAGCAGCTCCGGTGCAGGTACGTGGCCTGACATAGGTCCTTTGCCCGAAGCCCCCTTTTTCTGTGGTGCCGGTGGGCTCACTGACTTCAACTACTTCTTAGGTACCAGGGAGGGGGAACAGTGTTGGGAGGGTGGCAGTGGTACACTGCGTGCCGACGCCAAGGTGCCGGGCATGGAGTCCGATTGGGACGGCTCCAAGGTAGGACAAAGCGCAGCCTTCATGAGGAGAACCCTCAAGTGGATACCCTGCTCCCTTTGAGTTCGAGGGCGAAATTTTTGCAGATCCTGCATTTGTCCTTTCTGTGGGACTGCTCCAAACACTTTAAATAGCTCTCGTGGGGGTTGCTAGTGGGCATCGGCCATCTGCACACTGAGCATGGCTTAAAGCCTGGGGAACGAGGCATGTCCCGCTTTGACGCAAAGTCCCAGCCAAGATTCTCAACGCCTAAACAACTACCCTAACACACAACTTAAAGATCTATGTACCTAACAACTAACACAATAGACTGTAAGAACTGCTAATGCTCTTGCGACCAACCAACCATCACAGGCAGTAAGAAGGAACGGACGGGGCGTAGAGTCAGCAGTGCCTAATATACCAGCACATGAGCACACCACTCAAGAGGGCGCTACAGTCGACCCTATGGGTACTGCTATGGCAAAAATCTCTGACGACTGTGCACATGGGCACGCACACACCTAGAATGGAATCTACATGAGCAAGCACTCGAAGAAGAAGAATATTTGCCTGTGGCATGGTCAGCCGTACATATGGGATCTCTGTGTCATCAGAAATGTCCAACTTCAGATATGGTAGCATAAAGCTATGCTAAGTCTCACAATAGGGCAATCCTTTATAACCAAAAGTCCATGTACCTTTGGGAGGCTGTCCTGAATGTGGTTACTGCTGAGAATGTGAAAGCCTAATTTTCTGGTGAATGCACAGCACATTGAGATCCTTAGATAGAAGGGGCTATAGAAGTGCAAATAATATATTTATTTGATTTATAAAGTGAAACTATTTCATGCTGGAGGTTGAGATATTTTTCCATCATGTCCTCCCACCCTCATCACACTCCAACAAAGCAAGCTTTAACATCCCATTTGTTCCCTTTTCCCTCTTCCATTTCTGCCTGTTTATTCACACTGCTCTTTATGCATAGAGTGACCTCCCCTGATCAACAAGCAGCTACGCTCTTCCTATTCAAATCCTTCCATAAAAATTGTGCTTCTCGCACAGAGCTTGTAAAAAAAAAAAAAGTGAGATCCTTATTTATTATTTGTATTATAGTAATACCTAGAGGTCCCATCATGCTAGGTACTGTACAGACACAGGGGCTCTCTTCCAAAGAGCGAATAATCTAAAAAGGCAGGATAAAGGAAGCATTATCTCTATTTTATGGATAAGAACTATATTATGAGAGAAATCAAAACAAAAACCTCTAAGCTGTCCAGTTCATCCTGTCTTCTCTGCAATTATCTTTTAGACTCTAAGCACTTGGGAGCCAGGATTCTTTTTATCATTCTCTTTTGTACAGCACCAAGTGCACTGTCAGTACCAAATTCATTATTAATCATAAATAATAAGCAGCATAACAGGAACTCTGTAAAATGACACTGTGTGCTTCCATTATTTAGTCTCACAGTGAGTCAGCATCAACTGTGCTCAAGCTTACAAATCAACAGATGATTTATTTTACCGACTGTACCAGAAACTGCCTGGAATCTGAAAATCCAGTGGGGCTCTTCTGTCTCTTACACCATCTCCAGCAATAGAAGATATTCAAGACTGAATGTTTCCTTTATAGCAGTGCATCTATATAGAGAAGACAGATGCTGCCAGTTTGCTCGTTTTATTTCACAGCATACTGGAGAAGACAGCTTCTGTGTTCGCTACAATTTGTTCTAACTGGAAATAACATGCTGAAATTAGGGGAAATTGACAAAGTGCCATTCCATTTGCTCTGATCACTAAAAGATATCAAAGTTGCAGATGTTGTGGGGGAAAACATAACACACTAGGCTTTTACAGAGAATGGACACAGGAAATTTAGAAGAGAGGTGGAAATTAATCTCACACTCCTGGTGGGGCAGAGGAAGGGATAGACCTAAGCTGCAAAATTCACAGTCAAATGTGAACTTCCCCAAAGATCAGGATGCTCAGATCTGTGGATCTGATTAAGGTGCATGTCTACTGGAAACAGTGCGATGGTGCAGACAAGACTGATTGGTTAAGATGCTAGAAAGGATCAAGTTGTTTAACCAGGAATTTCAATTCAGTTTGAAGCTAGTATTTCCCTTCAGAATGTTTGTCTAGGGTTGTTTTTTGTTTGTGTTGTAGTTATATAGACTATCAGAGAGGAGGGGTTTAATCCTAGAATAATCTGTCGTTTACTTTGCTGATTTCAGACTTTGATAGGAGATCCTTAATTGCTAGCAACATGCTGTGAAATAGGATATGGTGAACCCATTATCTTCAGTACTAGCTGAAATAAGCATCTGTCAGGAGTGGGTTGTAATAGTATTTTCAGTGTGTTTTTTATGGAGGTGTGCAGGATAGAAAGTGCGATGATCCAGCATGCTGAGGGCTGTTCCTGAGATTGGATTTTGGATCCATGTGATCTAGTTGTAGTTTTAATTAGCATTATGTTTTAGGGGTCCAACATGTGAGTTCACACAAGTGCATTAGGGAGCAATTACATCTGGGAACAAAGGGAAAAGAATTAAAAACTAGACTCGGTTACTTTGTATCACACAGTAAATCTGAATATGAATCTCTTGTGGTTATTGAAAGAAAGATAGTAAGTGATCATAAGAAGGGTATCTGGTGCATAAAACACAATGTATGCTGTGGCTAAAGCTGGTATTTATTTTTACTAGAAGGACTATTACAAGTACAAAATCTAATGCTGTGGAGGGGAGGAAATGTTCAATATGATAAATGACTGACTGGAAGCACATTAATGAATTACCAAATCAGTAAAATAATCTGGTATTTCTGGTTTGTCATGAGCATTCTAATAATTTTTTTAAACCAGTTATGGTTCAATGGTAACATTGAAAGACACACGGTCCTCTTTAAAAATAAAATAAAATAAAAATAAGTAAATAAATTAGTCTGAAAAACGTTTAACTAAACTCGTGTTAAGCGCCATCTAAGATCACTACAAGTGAAAGATTAGGAGGGAAAATTCTCTATTTTTTCCATTTTATTTACTTTGTGCATTTGACAGCACTGTGTGTTTAGCTAAGTTCCCTAGTCAGTTTCCTTGTTTGCATGGGTCTTTCAGTTAACAGTGGAAAGGGGGAAAAGAAAAAAAGCATTTAAACATACAAATGTGGCTGTAAAGCCAATAAATAAATTGTCTGGGGGACTCAGAGGCAAGTAGAGAACCTGAAAATACTTTCAAGTCACTTTTTGGAACTGGATAGATCTTAAGTTGACTGTCCGTATGGGAAAGTTTTAACTTTACGTGCAACTATAAATCAGAAGGACTATACAAAAATCAGCCTTTTTTCTCCCCACACAGCAGATTAATTCCCTGTATGTGTCTGGAGTCACACTGGCTCATTTTACTGACAAAAACAAAGGCTTCAGCTTCAGAAAGTGCAAAATGCTTGATGTGCAGATGCCAGTCTAGCTTGGAGTACTCAGTTTTGCACATGCTTCTCTAGTGACCAAAGTATGTGCAAGTTTTCCGAACTTGAGTCTAAGTGTTTCCTTCTGCTAGATGTATGGGCCATGCAGGACTATTACAGAACAAGGTGAAGATTATTCTGCCTCGTGCATCAACAGCAAAATTGTCCAGTTGCATGTTTTTTATCTTTGGTGATGCTCATTTCATCCTCTCTTGCAAAACTCCTCTTTTTCCCCTTCTGTCACTGTCATGAAACCTGCACTAAGAACTATCCCTAACAGGCAACTCCCTATAACCAGCCACTTGCCCCTGTGCAACATAATCTTGTGTAACCACTGAAAGCCAACCTCTGCTTGGAAACTGGATTTTGCTGGTCCCTTTGGTGATTGCCTAAGGTAGATTTCAATGGATGCCATTTGGTCATTCTGAATAAATTATAACACTGTCTCTTCTACAGCTAAAGATGGGCATGGCAAGTATTATTAACCCCATTTTACAGATGGGGAAATGAGAGATTAAGGGCACAAAGGCACAAAATTTGTACTGTTTTAATATGCAAGACTATAAATATGTTTTAATTATGTAAGAATATAAAGCAGTACAATCCTCCTAGTATAAACTGCATCCACATTGGTACAAAGGTGTTTTATACCAGTGTAGCTATTCCTATATGAGAAGTGGAATAAACAATTCCCATATAGGGCACCTTTATACTGCTGTAATTGCACCCACACTAGGGCTTATTCAGGTATCGTACATCAGTAAAAATTTACACCACTAACCAAAAAGTTTATACTGGTATAAAAGTTGTATGTAGGCCAGGCCTAAGTGACTTGCCCAAGGTCACAGAGTTGATTCATAGAACCAGGAACATAAATAGAGCCTCATGTTTTTTGTAAATGCAAAACACCACAAAAACAAAAAAACAATGTAAAAAACTAGATAAAGTGCTGCTCACTCAACTCTGGCCCAGCTGCCCCTCTGTCATGATGACAGAAAAGTAACTGGGCCAAGCCTGAACAGTGCTGTGCCCCATGTGCCAGGTCACAACATCTGCGGCAAAGCAGCTGCCACTATGGAGTGAGTGCAGTGGGGGGGGGCGGGAGGGCTGGGGGAGTTCACTCTGTAAACTTCCTCCCGAAGCCTTCCACCTGCCCCAATGGGAGGATTACCCCTCCCCCCCAGGGCAGGATCCAACCCTCCTCCCCCCCCCCAGAGTGGATAAAATTGATAAAATAAAACAACACGAAATTCCTGAAAAATAAAACAAAAAAGGAATGTCACAGGGCTCTAAATATAACCCAAAGGTCCTGAAACACAATCTCTCTCTTTCATACCCTCCCTCCCACTACTCCAATTCCAACTGATAGGCAACATGCCCAGAGACCTTATTCTGGAAGGTTGTTACTGTATTCATCTCAATGGCAATATTTTTTAGGGAGTACGGAATGATAAATGTTCAACTTTTCAACCTTATCAGTGTCTTTTTAGTGTTATTTTGATTAAAATATACGTTTTAAAATCCCACCTATAGCTCTTTAAAAACAACACAGAGAAACAGGGCTAGTTTGGGTTACTAGCTGGGTTACCAGTGTTAAGAACAGCAATCTAGAAAGGGTACTGAGTGTTTTTCTTAATGATATTGGGCTAAACTCTGGTCTCAGTGATACTGGTGCACATTCAGAGAGTAACTCCACAGAAGTCAATCTGTGTATGTAGCAGCATAACTAAGAGCAGAATTTGGTCCATGGGACTTTTTCCAGATTTGTTCTCCAAAGCAAACCTCTCCTGTCATGCAGCCTCAACTGAAAGGAGCTTATGAGCCTGATCCTCAGATGGTGTAAATTAGCACAGCTCCAATTTTCACCAGCTGAGGATCCAGCCCTATAAGTTTTCTTGCCCCCACCACCACCCAGGTTTGGAATTTTTCTTTGAAATGTTCCAGCTTCTCCTTTACTGCACGAAAAGCAGTGGAGGATGGATTAAAAACAATAAAAAGCTACTAAAAGCCGATACATAAAACTCATCACTTGGTAACGAGTTTCTGTTGGATCACAAGGCCTGTGCTTTGTCCCTGCAAGACACAGTCAATGACTTTTGCAAAGTTCATTCCCTATAAGCCCAGCACATACCAAGGTTGAAATTATTCCCCAAGCTACTCACTGAAATCAACATTAGTGCACATCGGTGGGGTTACACAGCTGTAACAAAAGCTGAACTGTGCTCCACAATTGGAGTGGGGAGCAGTTTACATATATGGGAAGGTGTGATCTGGAGGGTGTAACAACAAACAGGAAAAATCATAGGTTTGATGACAGGCGGATGGATTGCTGTCTCTTGCCAAATCTCCTTTCCCAAGATGCAAACCAACAGATATACCCTCCCATCATTCCACCCCATCAGCTGTAGAAATCCTCTCTGATCCCTCCTGAGAAAGACAACTAGTTTGATAAACTCACTTGCATAAACAGTTTTGTGGACAGCAAATACCAAAGGAACTTCAGAGACCACATCCTCTTACCTTTCTTTGCGGCTACCCAACTTGCGGGCTGTGTATTGATCCCCATAGTCTACTAGGGAAAGGTGACGTGAAAAGACAGTAACTTTGTTGCCTATAAACAAATCTTCTAGGTGTAAGTCATCATATTTTGTGCGTTTCAGAAAGGTGCGACGGTTCTTCACATCATACTGCAAAGAGAAGAAAGATCACCAAGCAGTTAAAGAGAGTGGTTAAACAATGAGCAAATTAAAAATAAATTCTATTCAATTTTAGAACAGCCTCAAAAGTATTATGGGATCCAGTGAGGTTGCTAGATTCACTGAATTTCTAACCCTTTGAGTTTGCACGTACAATAGAGAAGGTCATGAGATGAAGCCAACTGTTATACATTTGTTCCATTTTAACTGTCAGCCGGTGACACTGGGAGTCCCCTCAATACCAGCTGGCGGGGGGCATAACATACTGTAATTCACATCTGGCCTGACATGCTCATTGCCCCCAACATACTGGTGTCAAAGTGTCATGTAAGGTACCATGTACAAAATCCTAGTAATGTCAACTCAGTACTTAATCTTTCTGAGGAAAATGCAGTAAGTTCCACAAAGTTTACTGGGTGAGCTGTCAAAGCATCAGAGGAGATCTTAAAAGCAACAGTTTCCTTTCAGCTGCGTGCAGATATTAAAAATCCCAAGGCACTTCTGTAACTGTAGGGGTCTGGCCTGCTGTTCTCAGCCAAAACTGCCCCTTCCCACCCTTATATACCATGTGCCACTCTCCACGACAATGCTATACCAACCATCAGATTTTGTGAAACTTTTGCCCATTTTTAGAACCAAACTGAATCTTTTTGATAATCTGAAGTGTTTGGGAAGTTTAGACTTGAAATTAGACAAAGGATTCTAACCGTCAGAGGAGTGAACTTTTGGAATAGCCTTCCAAAGGAAGCAGTGGGGGCAAAAGTTTCTATCTGGCTTTAAGATTAAACTCGATACATTTATGGAGGAGATGGTATGATGGGATAACATGATTTTAGTAATTAATTGATCTTTAAGTATTCATGGTAAATAGGCCTAATGGCCTGTGATGGGATGTTAGATGGGGTGGGATCTGAGTTACCCAGGAAAGAATTTTCTGTAGTATCTGACTGGTGAATCTTGCCCATACACTCAGGGTTTAGCTGATCACCATATTTGGGGTTGGGAAGGAATTTTCCTCCAAGGCAGATTGGAAGAGGCCCTGGAGATTTTTTGCCTTCCTCTGTGGCATGGGGCACGGGTCACTTGCTGGAGGATTCTCTGCTCCTTGAAGTCTTTAAACCACGATTTGAGGACTTCAATAGCTCAGACATAGGTGAGAGGTTTTTCGCAGGAGTGGGTGGGTGAGATTCTGTGGCCTGCGTTGTGCAGGAGGTCAGACTAGATGATCATCATGGTCCCTTCTGACCTTAGTATCTATGAGTCTCTCTCCCATTTCCAAATTCTGACTGGAATCAATAGAAGTCTCACAGGACAGCCTGCTCTTGTGAAATTCACAGCCCAATTCTGCATACTTAAAAGGTCAAAATAGTTCTGAGAAGCACTCATTTTGGTAAGGATTGGGTGGGCTACCTCACTCTGAACTTTTTGAGGTTCCTCATCACTATTCAGAATGAAACTCTTCTTAGTTCTTTGCATTAGTTGACATCCTATATTCTAATAGTTGATGAGATGGTAAAATAATAAAACAGTCCCTTGAATTCTGCTGTATAGTATTGCCTGACTTGTTCAAGAGTTGTATTTTCAGATGTAAGTAAATCAATAATCTTCAAAACCCTGACACTTGCATATTTCCTAGCCCAGTTCAACCCTAGCAGAGGAAAAAATGTGTCCCCAGTTATTTTGCACTCCTTTCCAAGCCGTCAACGTAACACGGATGAAAAAAGCCTGAAGATGGCATTTCCTCATCTACCTGTTTGTGGTTTATTTTTTGGCATGGATGCCTGGATATATTTATAAACCCTATTTTAAAAAAAATGACGAGCCACAAAGTTGGTAAACAATAGATCAACATTACTTAGATTTGGTAAATACAGCTTGCAGTTTTATCTCTCTCTCTCCACACGCATACTTTGCCTGAAGAAGCAAGTTTAGCGGAAATGAAATAATGTCTGCTAACAATCTATGTTTTCTTGTGTGTTTTTTTTTTTTTTTTAAAAAAAAGTTATAAGCCTTCTCTTATTAAGGCAGTCATCTACATAACTACTATTCCAAGCAATAAATTGTTAAGGATTAACCTGCAAGGTTTCAAATGATGTCAAATTCTGAGAACCAAGCATGAATATTTGCCAACAGATCCAATTTGCTCACAGCACTCCCTGATACCCTTTTCTGTTGTGGGCTACTGGGAGAAGAAACAAAAAAATCCTGCCAAACTCTCCCACAGACAATAGAGGCCACTCCTCCTGCTATGTAGCTGCCTCTCCAATATTTTCACTGCTTCCTCTACCAGTTTCCCCCTTTTCCTCAGGAACAGCCAAGAAGCATAGCGTAGTAAGGAAATGGAGGGAAGGAAAGCTGAGAACTAGAAGGCCTCATTTACCCACAATAAGCCCTCAGCAGCTTCAGCCCCACACATGGCATAGGGGTGGTTAAGGAGAGGTTGGTGGGCGGAATCCTTACAGGGAGGGATGAAAAGGTCAAATCATTCATCACCTCCAAAAGGAAATTTGCTTACTAGTTGCCACCTATCCTCTCTCCAGATATGTCCAAGGGAATAACAAGAAACCATCCACTTCCTCAGAAAGACAACAATAGGTAGAGATGAGGCAGAGACCATTGACAGAAGAGGTGATTCAGTGGGGATTGGTACTGGACATAGTTGGGATTTATATAAATTCAGAAGAGCATCCAAATTTTAAGACAGTTGTAAAGGAGTCCCTTACAGTTTGTCTCTTCAATGACTGGAGAACATGTCCACACCCAGTTACTTGCATTGTGTGCCTCCGGCACAGATCCTAGTTCCTTGCTTCTTACAAGGGACCTCTATCCCTTGCGGCCTTCTTAAGTCTCTCTCTGGCAGTTTGCGGTTCTTCCTGTAGGGTTGGGGTGAAGATCTCCTGGATGAGAGTTCCCCCTGTGGCTCCAGGAGTCAGGCCAGCAGTCTACTGCTTTGCAAATACACTCCTTCCCCTCACCTGACTGCTGTTTCCTCCCTTTTACAGGCCTCCTGCCTATCATGAGTAATTGACAAAGCCGGAGGGGTGGGGAAAGCCCTGCCCCCAGGGCCTCTCTGGCACCTTTCTCATCAGCAAGAGGTCCATACACCCCATCACAACACCTGTCCAAATTGATCCCAAAATCTGAACAGCAGAGTGTGACACATGGCCAGAAAGCGTTAAACATCCCGTAAAACAAAATGACCCAAATTCAACCGTTAAAGATGTGTGGGGAGAGAATGTTTGTGTTTTTACATATATATGGGTAGTGGTCAACAATGTAATCAACAGTCCCTGTCTATGCTGTATTCTGATAATTCAGAGATCAAAAGAACATCCTAGCATTTAAATGAATTGTAAACGCAGGATATCACTGTATTCATCTCTCTTTGAAATGTATAGCAAATTATCTGTGAATGGTGGAAAAACAGGCAGTTGCCTTATGTTAATTGGTATAGCTAAGTACTGGTGATGGAACCGCTTCAAAGTTGTCCTAATTACCTATTGTTCCCCAAGGTACTGCGATTTGTCAAAGGCGGCTTGAAACTGTATAAAAGATCCCTGGGTCCTGATCCTGTTTATCTCAAATCTGCTTAAGCTTCATCAGGGGAAGTTTGAGTAGCAAGATGAAATCCCAGTTAAGTTGGTACACCCTGGATATGATACTGGACATTGGACTATAACCTATGGACTAAATTCTAAAAGAACTCTTTGCAACTACAAAGAATCTCTGCTATGAATCTCAACCTCAAGAATTGAACTCATGTCTGTATATATATTGATCTTTTAACCATACTCTCTCCCTTTTCTTTTTTAATAAATTTTAATTTAGTTAATAAGAATTGGCTGTAGCGTGATTTTGGGTAAAATCTGGAATATTCATTAACCTGAGAGGTAATGTGTCCGATCCTTTGGGATTGGTAGAACCTTTTCTTTTATATGATGAAATAAGATTTTCAGAAATCTTCATCATATTTGACTTGGGTATCTGGATGAAGGCCTGAGGCTGGGTTACTTTAAGGGAACTGTGTTGTTGGTTTCTGGGCAACCGGTGAGGTAATAAAGAAGCTGTATTCTGCTGGCTTGGTAAATTTAAGTATTGAAATATCCACCAGCCTTGAGGATTGACTGCCCCATTCCTTGTAGTTCACCCTGAGTGACCTCAGCTGGCCCCCACTGGGATCCCAGGTCACACACAACTTCTCCCACCATAGGTTATATATGGGCATTTTTGCTTCCCCAGTTCCAATACAGATGGCCAGTTGAGCACCCACTCTGACATGCATGTCTGTGTCAAGTTATCATCAAGTACTGAAAAGTGTCAAAATGCAGAACTGTGTGGCTGTTGGGTGTACTAAGAGCTAAGATGATTTAAAACATTTTGGAAATTTTCAGTTTAGAGACCAAATATTTCTATACAGTTAACCTAATTTCACCAGCATCCACAGGAAAGGTTATTGTCACCCCAGGCCTATTAGGACAATTCTCTCTGGATACATTTTCAAATGCTGGCAATTATGCAAGCTTCACAAAATAAATCAATAAATAAGGAGGTTACTCCCTAGGTTCCCCTGAGTTTGTTTAATTTTAGAAACAGAGCAAACAAATTAAAAAATCTCTACATTTTCCATTTCCAAATTAAAACCATACTATGGGCTGCAGCTTGCCAACTTCCAAACTGCGTAGCTGAAAAGTATGCTTATGAGAATATAAAAAGTTTTTACCATTTCAACTGACCCATCTTTCGGATAATACAACAGTTCGTAACGTCGAAAGAGTGAAGCGTTTGGGTCATACCATTCTGCAATGAAAGCAAATCTGTCGTCTTGACTCTGGAAAAGAAGCAGTCATACACAGAATCATTGCATTAAATTTATGTCCCAAAGGGAAACACACTAGTGAACATGCTTCAGCATTGTGAGTAAGAGCACTACTATCTGCTCACCAAGGGTGACAGCATCATTTAACTTCTGAATCGACTTTGATCTCAAAGGAAGCCTCTTAGAAACGTGGAGTTGGCCTTCTAAATAAGTATATATTGTTCTAGTCTTGCCTACACTACAAAAAAATCAATCATGTTGAGAGGTCCAGTTACAACACAGCTACCGTCAAATTCGAGTTCAGTCCCACCTACAATGCATGATGGAACCGTTAGGGAGGCAATTTCACCCTCTCAATTTTCTGAGGTCAAACTCATCTGGGCCTGCTACCTTACCCACTTTCAATTGCTATAAAACGTTTATCTGCTGATAGCTAACCACAGAACCTTTCCAAATTTCACAACATAGCCCAGAGGAAAACATATCCTTCTCTTGGTGGTGGTGACAATGAACGACACCTTATAATACAAAGATAAATTCACTCAGGCTAGGGAAATATTAGCGTAATCTATAACTTAATCTCTTACTATCTGTAAGAGGCCTGTGCACCTCAGCCCCATCTATAACTAATTTCCTATGAGTGGGTAGGGATAGCCGGGTTACAACATTTCTGAAATTAACCAAATTTAGCTGGATGTGCAGGACTTCATCACTGCTCACAATCTTACCCATTTAAGCCCTTGGATCCAAGGCACTGGAGAAAGGAAAAGAGTCTTGAACGTTTTCCAGAACATAGGTAGACCTCAATTTTGAGATGTTGGCACTAGATGATTTTCAGAGGTGGCAATGACTGTCCCTCTAGCACCTGACTGGCTCAATGTGGCAGCCTCACCAAAAGTGGGTCCAGAAGGATGCCTTAGGTTGAATCTGGCATTGAAGGTTTGATTTGCTCACTGAGGAGGTTTAGAAGTGAAAGACCCTCCTTCATTAAGAAGGCTTGGAGCCAGGTTTGTATTTCTATACTGACTCAGGGTGTGAAAATCTGACCGCAAATCAGGAGAATGAGCAAGAAGAATGGCATTGCCAGGCACATGAGGCACTAGCTGTGCACAGACTCCAGTAAAAAGGAAAGACAAAATGCACACCTCAAACCTTGGCCTGTGGGTTTGCTGTAAAGCCCAGAACAAAGACAACGCCAGTTTGGGATTCAAACTGCACAATGATGTGGGAAGAGTCTCAAACGAACCTAAACTACCTAAAAACCTAACTACCAAGAACTATTTACAGATAAAAAATTGGCAAGAAGTCTGGTTTAAAACCTAACTCCAGAGACAGAGAGGTTCCTATGTCCATAGCTGGTTGCCAAAAGGAAGAAACTGAGGTGCTTTGGATTGCACGGATATTTTATAACTTCAGCTCTGAATGTTTAGTACTGTGAAAGGGCAATACCAAAGGGTGCTGCTTTCTAAAAGTTTCAGAGTTCTCGTGCTGGTGGACACATGCTACAAGTGGAAATATACAGAGGCCACCCTATGGTAAGTGGTAACACTTCGTAACAACTGTTTACCAGTTCTGTAGTCCAACAATGGTAATAAGATGATCAGTTTGCTACTACCGGGGGGGAAACAAAGAGAAACCTGCAGGCATTTCATATGCTTCTTCAAATGATTATTTTATTTTTACTTCATAAATAAAGTATTTTTAACAAACATTTGGAATTGCAGGGGGTGTTGGATGCTGTTTGATTAGTTATACAGTTTCAATTCAACACTGCTAGAGACAGACCTGAATTAAAACCCGAGAGCTATACATCCCTGATCTTTGGGGAAATTCAGGTCTAGATTCTGGGGCTCAACCATTGCTCTCTAACATAAATGCTTCCAAACTCTGTGCATAATTGGATAAGAACATTGCAACTCAGTCCAATCTCTGAACAATGCAAATATTTACAATAAAGAGAAATTCAGAACTACAATAAACTGATTCCCCCCCCCCAAGTACTCACCCCCATCCCTGCCCCTCTCCCCTACCCCGCCCCTGAGCCCCATTCCAACCTTTTTGAGCTTTCTACATCGATAAGAAGCAACAGTTCTACTGTTGCTCAGTTGATACTGGTAAAAGAACATGTCCTTTAAATAGTCAGCACACTGAAACAGCTGATGGTATTCAAACAAAGTAGCCTAGTGCAAGTCATTTCCCACTGCTGCAAAATGTGTTATGTATTGCGTCATTGTGTCTCATATTACATCCAGCCTTCAGAGGAAAGCTCTTCCTAGTCAACTGGTTTAAACAAAAAATAAGTGCTTCTAAATTGCCAATATAAGAGGATGGGTAACTGAATGTCATTACCATCTGATGTGTGTCAGTATTCCCTGTGAAATAAGTTGTCAGTTTTATTCCGGTTCCAAGTGGACAGATGTCCACTAACTGTCTCCCTCATTTGCATTCTCAGTAGAAAAGACATGAACTGCACTCCCCTCTCACCATTAGAGTAGTCCCTCTACTTTAAGGTTGAGACATGTTAGAGGAAAGCTTGCACACACTGCCACTGCTTGTGTGATTCTCGCTCCATGGAACAGAGATCTTCCAACTCCAAGGCTGTCGAGCCTGCACTTCTCACTCCCCCCACATGCACATTTGTGTTTTCCTTTTGACAGCCCTACGCCTTTGTTTTTAATGTCTCTCATTTAGTTCATCACTATTCCTTTTCGGCCTCTACTTCTGGGAGAAGGGGGAGCATGTTTCAAGGATCCCACCCCTCTAGAAAGCTCAAACAGGCCATCCCCTTTCACTTTTATACACTTTTTTTGAAGTCTAACACATATATATCATATAAAAGATTAAGATTTTCAAGTTGGCACTAAGTAGGACTTAACTTTCAAATTTTGGAAAACAGTGGCATTTCAGTTGTGTCAAACACTGCCCGCTAAGCAGTGGAACAGAATAAATGCATATCAGCTTCTAGAGCAGTGCAGAAGCGTGAAGGGTCTGGTCCTGCTCCTGCTCCTACTTCTACTTAAGTCAAGGATAAATTGTCCCAAGAGGAAGGTCATTAGACTGCTGCATGTGGGCCAGAAACTATCAGCATTAAAGAAAATGATCACTGGTAGGCAATTTGCTGCATTTATATTTTTTTCCCCTCCTGCTCCCAGACAGCATGATGTGATGTCCCTATTGGGACATCACTGCTAATGCTACTAAGTGTTAGATACTGAAAATACAATCCAGACAACAAAGCTAGCACTTTAGAAGCTGGCCAGTGGCAGCATATGTACAGCTAGACACAAAAAACATTACTAGGATCTAAGGCAGCGTCTCTCAAATGCGGCCACCATGGCCACATGAGTGCCACCAGGGGCTTTTCTTGTGGCCACAGCCTCCTGGGCTGTGATTGTGGGGGGGAAGAGGCAAAGTAGCAGCCATTCCCACTCCCTGTTGCTCCTGGATGCCCTACCTTGGTGCTGACACCTGGGGCACAATGCGGAAGGACCAGGCAGCTGGTGAGTTCCCACCTTCCCAGGGGCAGTGGGGCTCAGACTTTGGGCTTCAGCCCTGGGGTGGTAGGCTCTGGCCGAGAGGTTTCAGGCTCAATCCCCAGGCTCCAGCTGCACAGTGACAGGCCCCAGGCTCCAGCTGCAGGGCTTCAGGCTCCAGCCCCGCACTGCCTCCCCCACTTGTCACCCTACCCCCATCCAGGGCTTAAAATTTGTCCCCAGGCTTGGCAGGACTGAGTAAATCTGCTGTGAAAAGTGATATTAACAAACATACAAGTATTACTTTTCACAGCAGACTTACGAGCTAGCAATAAATACATTACAATGATTTGGACGTGTATATGTGCATATTTGTGTTTTTCCTAAAGCTGATTAACTATTTTAGGAAAAAGTGAGAGTGTGGTCACCAGCAAGAGTTGTTGGCCACACTCTGAGGCCACCAAAAAAATTGTTCTGAGAACCCCTGACCTAAGGCTTCAATTCAGCAAGCCATTTAAGCAGAGGTTTAAATCCCAGCGAATTCAATGGGATTTAAAGATGAACCTCAGCACGTTACTGAATCAGGTCCTAATATGAGAAGCAATGGGAAAGAATGAGATAATGAAGAATAATTCCACAACTGAACTACATTATCGAGTTTGCAGCTTTGTTTTCAAAAACATATGAGGAGTGTAGTATAGTAGACCGTGTTGTCTAACAGAGAGAGCCCTGGACTGGGACTCAGGAGACCTGAATTGTGTTCCCAGCTCTGACACTAACTGCTGAGTGACCTTGAGCACTCATCTCACCTCTCTATGGCTCAGTTTCCCCACCTGGAAAATGGGTTTAATGATACAGATCGCCTCTGTAAAGTACTTTGTGCTCTACTGATGAAAAGTGTCATATAAGAACTAGGTATTATTTATTAACCCTTTAACACTCTATAGTGATGCTGGAAAGAGAACAAATAAACTTGCTTGAATAATTTGCTTGAGTCGAAGCAGGACAAGTCACTTTATAGTTTAGGTTGCAGTGAATTTCCATGTGGCCTTCTTTGAACATCCTTTACCATGTTGTTTTGATTCTTAAACAAACAGTGCCAGTTTTAACAGCTGAATAATGATCTATGAATAAGAACAAACAGTAAAGTCACATGGTTATTAATCAGAGCCATCTTTGTATTAATACTGCACATAGCTGTATCTTTCATTACTGCAGGTCTGTAAAATAAATTAGTCACTAGAGATATGCTGCCAATTTTCATTTTACTACAACCCTGAAAATTTCCACCTCAAGTTTCCTCAGGCAAATGAATTTTTAACAATAAAAAAATAAAAAAAAAATAGATTTTTCATTATAGTCATCAGCATCTTCATGGGGAAGTTGAGCAAATCAACTTTTTGCCTGGACTGGTCAATTTAAATGAGAATTCTGCAAGCTATTTCAACATGATATTGATTTTAAAGTGCCTGAAGTAAATTGTATAAAATTTTGAACAGGTTGTCTATTAATCATTTATATTTATTATTCAGCAGATAT